AACCTGCTGTTGGGAAAGTGATTTAGTTTTTGCCTCATGCCCAATTAATTTACCCTATCCACTCTTTTGAAGGCTATAGACGGGCCAGGAAATTTCACCCATTCTCTACATTCCTGACTTTTCTGTTTTGTAGAGAAGAGACCCCTAAACTATTGAATATTTTTGATAGTTATCATCTCAATTCTGATACCATTAGTATAAATCCTTCCTGACCCCTCGCCAGCATTTCTCTGTCCTTTTTGCAGTAGTCTGTATAGCAGTCAAAGCCATACAGGAGTCCTCTACAAGTTTTATAATTGTTATAATTTATGTGTTTAATAATTCTGCATTGCTAGAAATAAATGGTAATGCTTTATTAGTATTTTTAATGAATTTGCTTTTTATTAAAGTACAAAATTTTAAATGCCAATGACAACTGCACCTCTTAAGGCTTTTTTTAGCATTAGCATTTGCAGGGGAAAAGGGTGGCACAATGGTATTATTACTTGGCAGCAATCCAAAGACCAAGGTTAATTTTCTGTGAACACGGATTTCTGTACAAATAAAGAATTTTGCTGAAAGATACCCATTTTGTTTTGGACAGTTGTTTAGACAACAGAAAACAAAGGTCATGGGAAATTTCGTGGATTGTAAAATGTGATGTGTGATATTCCACAGTGGTCTTTGGGGACACTCATGCCCTCAATGTACACAAACATTCAGACCTAAGAATTGAGTACTCAACGCCAGTCTTTTCTGATGACAATGATTTGGTAAGATTAAAAGGTTGCAAGATCCCGTAATTCACAGGATTCATAGCTAGGTTATAGGTATAATTCATCTTGTAAAATACAGCTTAGCTAACAAGATTTTAAGTGGAGTAGGGGAATAGAAGGGCCTAAGTATGATGATAGTTTGACATTAAAATGACAGTTAAATGTTATCATGTAATTTTAGTTTGTTTCTTTCCTTTTTCAGATACTTTATAATGAAGGAGAGACGGACACAAACTATGCGTTTTCCCTGTACGGGCGATTTTGCCACGAACTTAAGCTGGATTATTCCCCTTATATCAACTATTTCACTCGTGTTTATTGGAATAGATCATATCGTGTATACAGAGTCAACACGCTGATATCATTTCAGTACTAGTGAGGTTTGAAGCCCTTCCAATCACTGTCCTTGTTAATGTTGCATATATTTAATGTTGAAGTAATGTCTCATTTCACAGGTGGACTTTTAAAATGGAACTTGTAAAAGCGTATAAATACGTTAGGTTTTTTAACTTATTTTTTACAAATTACTCTGAAATGAAAAGAGGGCGAAACTTTTATTTTGTAATCAGCTATGGGTGTTGTTCAGAATGGAGGTCTAAAACAAAAATTTGCAGCAGAATGAAATAAGTTATTCCATATTAGTTAATTTGCTGTAAAAAAGTATTGTATTTACTTGTTTGTATAAGGAACTAACCGCCCTGAGCTCCACATTGTTTTATAGCTCTGCACTCTAGGTAGAGCTTAAGCACACTGGGACATTGTGTACATTTAGTCTACATGCTCTGTTCAGATATTGGTTTAAATGTTTTTGCGGAAGTATTACTATTGGTACTTCACTATTTTTGGTTACAGGCACACAAAGAAGCAGGACCTTAACATGTTAAGTGTTTGAGGCCTAACTGAAAATTGGGGGAAATTATAAGTTAGTTTTTCTTAAATTACCTGATTGGCAAGTGGAAAAGGGAACATGTTTCAGAAGAATCTGGTGTAGCATTCGTGCAGTGCACATGTACAGTAAACTAATTGTTCTTTCATTGTGAAATATGAATGGATTTCATTTCATTGAATTATTAGACAGCACACGGTTAAACCTTTAATTTTAAGATGTATGTCAACTGTGATAAACAAAGTTGAAGATTGATTCTTTATTCCCTTTATTTTGGAAAAAGTATATTTTGAGCCCCACACACCTGCTGTCATGAGCCATGCTCCAGGACATTAGGTGAAGAAAGAAACCAAGAAGGACTGAAAGAACGCATCTGCACTTCAAGATTATTCAAATAACGCTTGTGATATATTTTGCTGCAGTTGATGTCCTTGTTTGTGGTCTAACATATCACCCAACTTATCAGACCCTTTCTGGGAAGATTACCAGCAAAGTTACAAAATTGGAAAAAAAGTGACGTGCCTTTGCCATTCCAGCAATAGAAAAAGATGGAACAGTGTCACTAACTCAGTTCTGCTGTAGGTTAGATATTAACCTCGAGGATGTGAGTTGAAATCTAGTCCAGTCTGAAGAGTTGAATATCTCTGTATTCTGTTAAATGTGTTTGAACAGTCTCAAGCCAGTTCCTGGTGGGCATGGCTTACAACACAAAACCAGAAATTTGCAGGATGCTAAGTGTGGAAAATATTTAGGCCTGGGATAAGAAGTTTTAGAAAAAAAACTTTGATAACCATTTGTTAGATTGTATCATGAATATTTTTATTTCAACTGGCATGTTTATCATTGAACACAATTGTAAACAGTAGTTTTAAAGTTAATTAATATGTGGTAACGAGTTAAAGAGGGGATTTGCCTGATAATGGTGAGTAGGTTAAACCTGATGAACAAATAGCAAGGTGTAAGCAACAGTATCTGGGGTAGGAGTAGACAATTCATCCTCTCCACCCTGTTCTACAGTTCAAATGGATCTTGGTTCTTTTGTAACCCAGTTAAAGGTATCCACTTTTGTTGCACCTGTTCTGACTCCCTTATTTAATAAAAACCTTGAAAATTTCTGTTAGCACAACATCCATATTGTTTGGAAGATAGAGTTCAAGAATTTCCACAAACCTTCATGTGGGGAAGAGATGCTTTATGATTTCATTAATTTTTAAGATTGTTCTCATTCTGGATTCTCATGTCAGTGGAAATACCGTGTCTATGTACCTTTCTGCCTGTTTACCATTCATATTTCTTAAATACCAGCCATATCTTTGAACCTGGTTTCACAGCTTATTCCCTAAGCCTTGGTATAATTTTGGTGGCTGTCCATGTGTACGCTCTGCAAGGCCAGTTTATTGTTTCTGAGGTGCACTGTTCAAAACTAGTAAAAACATACAAGTAAGGAGGAGGACAAGGCCTTTCCACCCCTCGATCCTGCTCTACCATTTAATAGCATCTGATTGTAACCTCAAATCCATAATCCCACTGACTGCTGATAAATTTTCATCCCCTTGCTTAGCAACTATCTATCCCTTTGCCTTAAAAATATTTAGACTCTGCCTCCAACATATTTTCAAGAAGTGAGTTCCAAAGACTGAAGACCCTCTGAGAGAAAAGTTCATCTCATCTGGATTTAAAATTGCTGACCCTTTATTTTGTAACATTGACCCTTAGTTCTAGATGCTCCCATAAAAGGAAATATCCTTTCCACATCTATCCCATCAAGATCCCTCAGAATCTTGTATGTTATAATGACGTCGCCTCTTACTGTTCTAAACTCCAGCAAATACAAGCTCAGCCTGTCCAACCTTTCCTCTTAAGGGAAACTTATTCCAAGTATTTCCCTGGTAAGCCTTCTCTGAACTGCTTCCAAAGCATTTACGTCCTTCCTCGAATAAAGTGACTAATATTGTACAAAGTACGCTAGATGTAGTCACACCGGTGCCGTGTATGACAGAAGCATAATCTCTTTACTTTTGTATTCAGTTCTCTTTGCAATTAAATATAATATTCTGGTAGATTTCCTAATTACTAGCTGTATCTGCATACTAATTTTTTGTAATTCATTTAGCAGCACACCAGATCCCAATACATCTTAGAGCTCAGTAATTTCTCACGATTTAGAGAATATGTTTTTAGAATCATGGAATCATATAGTACAGACGATGCCCTTTGGCCCATCAAGCCTGCTTCGACTAAAAAAAACACTCTAAATCTACACTAATCCTACTTTCCAGCACTTGACCCATAGCCTTGAATATTATAACATCTCAAGTGCTCACCCAAGTGCTTTTGAAAGGTTGAGATGGTTTGCTGTCTGAACTACCGTCCCAGGCAGTGCATTCCACATTCCCAACGCGTTCTGGGTGAAAACATTTTGTTCCAAATCCTCTTTAAACCTCCTGCCTTTTAATGTAAAATTATGCCCCCTTGTTATTGACCCTTTAAGTAAGAGGAACAGCTGCTTTCTTTTCACTCTGTCCATGCTCCTCATAATTGCATACATCTCAATTAAGTCCCCTCGCAGCATTCTGTGCTCTAAAGAAAACAAATTGATTTTATCCAGCCTCTTTTACATTTGCCAATTTCCAATCTAATGAGAACTTCCTCAAATCTAGATAGGTGTGGATAATTAAAACTAATGTATCAATATCATATAGTCACTTATTTAATATCCTGCGATGAAGTTCATTAGGCACTTGTCAGCCCCTCAATTCCAACAGTTTACTCAGTGCCATATTTCTGGTGATTGTGATTTACCCAAGTTCCATCCTGCCTTCTGTTTCATGATCTATAGCTGCTTCTGTCCAGTCTCCTGACCTTTCGCCTCTCTTTACACAATTATATGCTTTTTCTTAACATTTGATACTATCTTTAACCTTTCTCGCTAACTAAGGAATAGTGGCTCTGTCCCTTGGAATTTTCTTTACTTGTTGGAATTTTTATGTATTCTGAAACATCTCCTTAGATATTTGCCACCACATCTCTTTTGACCTATTACTTATTCTAATTGGCAATTTACTTTAGCCAGCTCTACTTCCATGCTCTCATAATTCCCCTTATTTAAATTTAACGAAATTGTCTCAGACCCATTCCTCTCCCCTTCAAATTGAATGTAAAATGCAATGATTTTATAGTTGCTGCTATGTGAGTCACCTTCACTATGAGGTAATGAATCCTTTCTCTTTCCACAATACCATATCCTCCTCTATGATTAATCACAGAAGATGTTATTCTCAGAAGCTATCCCAAAACCATGCTGTGAACTCCTCATCTAGGCTATCTTTGCCCATCCAACTTTTCCAGCTTACAGGTGAATTAAAATCTCTCATTATTATAGCCATGCCTTTCTGACAAGTTCCCTGTGTTTTTTGCTCCAAACGACTGTATTGTCACTGTTAGGGATTCTGTATACCACTCCACAAGTGACTGCTTACTTTATTATTTTTCATTTCTATCCAAATTGTTGCTACATCCTGGTTTCCTGAACTTAGGTTATCTCTTTCAATTGTTCTAGTACAACTGTTAACTAACAGAGCTACTCCTTCACCTCTTCCTAGCTTCCTGTCCTTCTTAAATGTCCTATGCATTTTAACATTCGGATCCCAATCCATGTTATCTTGCAGCCAAGTCTTTGTAAATGGCTACTAGATCATACTTATTTATTTCTATTTGCACTGTTAGTTCATCTGTTGTGTTTCAGATAGAATGTGCATTCAAATATAGAGCCTTGGTTTTTATCCTTTTTTTAGTCTTTTTGTATTCGCTCGTCTTATCTGTTGGTTTACTCTTAGGTTTGTACTCTCCACCTCTTTTTCCTGGTTTGTTCATCTCATTCCATCGTAATCCCTTTCTCTTTTGCCTTGCTTTTAATTTACCACATCTTCTCGAATTTGATGTCTTGGCCCCACTCCTTAGTTTAAAATTCTCTTTACTTCTGAGGGCCGCAAGAACTGTCGTCCCAGCACAAGTCAGGTGGAGACAGTCAAACTATGCAGTTTCCATTTTCCACTTCTTCCACACCAGTCTTTGAGCCGTACTTTCTTCTATTTAATCTGATTTGCCCAATGCCAATTTTCAGTGGCTTATAATGTTTCCTTTGAGATTCTGCTTCTTGATTTGGTGCCTAGCTTCTCATACTTACTATACAGAACATTTTCTTTGATCTGTCTATGTCATTAGCATCCACATGGACTTCGCTGACTAGATCCTTCCCCTCCTATTGCATGATCCTCACTCACCTGAGCAGATGCCCCAAACCCTAATACTGGGCAGTCATCTGGATTCATGCTGTAGTGTCAATCCTCTGACTATATTGTCTTCCAACTAGCACTAAATTCCTTTTCCTCCCCCATTTAAATGGCCTCCTGTACCATGCTGCCATGGCCAGATAGCTAATCTGCCCTGCAGATGTCACACTCATCGAGACAACCTGAAAGAACTTCAAAGCTGTTTGACAATTACAAAGGCAGAAGTTCGTCTGCTTCAGTCCCTTACCTGCCTCATTCACAGTCCCACTATATTTTCATGAATGAGGTACATCAGATGAAGTCTGATAAATTTCTACATAATTGAAGCATGACTTCCTTTGTGGTATATCTCAGTCCCTTGTGGATAAAGTAACATTTATTCTATTAAACTTCATAATACCCTTTCTGTCTTTGTCCTATCTTTTAGATATTTGTATACACAAATCATTAAACCTGTTTGTTCGTCTAAAGCTCCCAGTTTTCTCTATTTAGAAAACATCCCAATTTAATTTTCATAAGAGAATGACTTCATTGCAGCTTAGCCATCTCATTTATTTTCACAATGTCCTTTTGTAATTCCCTACTCCCATGAATACAATTGTGCCTCCTAATTTAGTATCATATGCAAACTCAGATACATAACCCTGTCCTTTCATCTAAGTTATTAATTTCTGTGATGAAAAGCTGAGACCCCAGTACATTGTTACATTTCACATGTCTTGGGAAGTAGTTATAGTTCAATGCTAAGGTTAATAATTCATTCAGTAGCTTCAGCTGACACAGTATCAATGGTTGTGATGCCACCAGGAATGGATCTGTCAGGGGCAGGAGTTCAGTCTTTGGAGAGTAGTTTTATGTGGATGGTCAGACTCTGGCAGACATTTGAGCTGTTCCTTATGTTCCATTTGTATTTTGCTGATCATGGAGTCAATTAGCTACAGTCGTAGCAGATGACTTTGGCAAATTTCACAACAGGATAAATTATCAATGTATTTCCTGTCTTCAGCCCTTTGTGGAAATTGGCCTCCGTATGTGAAGTCAGATTCAGGACCTGCTTGGGGCAGACCTGAGTGAGTGGCACAGTGGCTCAGTGGTTAAGACTGCTGCCTCTCAGAGCCAGGAACCCAGGTTTGATTCCAGCCTCTGTGTGGAGTTTGCACATTCTCCTCATGCCTTCACAGGTTTCTGCTGGGTGCCCCGGTTTCCTCCCACAGTCTGAAGATGTGCAGGCTAGGTAGGTTCGTCATGCTAAATGGAGTATTATGGGTTTTGGGTGAGATGCTGTTCAGAGAGTCTGTGCAGACTTGATGGGACGAATGGCCTGTCTGCACTGAAGGCATTCTATGATTCACATTTGAAAATATGCCTGCAGGGGAGACTGGCAGATTACTGCTTCAGAACAGAACTGAATCTGTCAGGGGATGTTTGGGACCTTATGCAGGGCAATAGGACAGTAGCTGCGTAGATTATTGGTTATGCTGTGGATGTTGGTAAACAGCTTTTCTAGCCACCACTTTCCTGTGAACTGGTATTCCTTAGGAATTGTGGTCAAAAACAATTGACTCCTACTGCTTTGCTTGACTTGTTTGCCATAAGGGAACTCGCCAGTTCCTCTTGTGTGTAAGGGTTTAAAAAGTCTGTCTGCTTTGGGTCTGTTTGAGAAACTGCATCAGGGCTGTTTCTACCACCCACTCATCTTTTCTGCTGGCCTCTCCATCACAAACCTACAGTGACTCATTTGCAGCCACTTTAATTTTTTCCAAAGGTACAGACTGAATGGATCAAAAGTCCTGTTCTGTGCTGTATGATTCTATGATAACTGATATTGAACTGATGGGCCTGTAATTGCTTGATTTTCTCCTGTCTTCTTAAATGATAGTGACATTTTCACTTTGCTAATCCAAAAGCTTAATTTCTGAATCGAGGGAGCCCTAAAAAATTATAATTGTTGTATCTGCAATCTCCTTGCCTTTTTTTAATATTGTAGGGTGGGAACCATTGTTTCTATACATTTGTCTATTTTGAACTGGTCTGTCTTTGTGGAATATCAAATATTGTGATTCACTTTAACAAGGAGTAACCTATATGTTTTCATGATCATACCAGTATTGCTTTTATTGATTTAATAAGATATTTTTCTGTGTCATGTCCTGTGCAGATGTCCAAAATTGTGTCACTTCAGTTAATTGCCTGAAGAGTTTGGAATTCTTTCACAGAAACAATCCTACATGTTGCATGATTTTGATCGGTATATTATCAACTTTCTATGAGCTTTCCTGACAACATCAATGCCAATCTGACTTATCTATTTACTATACCTAAATCTTTATTAGACTAGTATTTGCAAAAGCAGCTTAGCTGTTGAGACATTTTCACTAGTTTCCCCATCCATTGTAAGTTATTTTACCTCTTATTAAAGCTCTTCATTTTCCTCTGCGAACAATCCCAGAAGTCAGCATCCTGTCTAATAGTCATTTATGTTTGAGAAAAATATTGGGAATTTGATTCAAGTTTTGTGATTGGACCCCTAGTTTCACATGAAGATGAGCCCACCTGTTACACTTTAAAACTCTAAAAGGGTATTTGTAGATATTTGCTTAACTATTCTATGATTCTTATTAATTTTTTCTTAACGTGAGATTTTGGAAAAATCACTGATTATTTTGGTGGTGAATATTTTCAAAACATAGTTCTTATAATTAAAAATCTTGCTCTCAATATGAAGGAGTAAGTAGTCATTTTTTAACATAAAATCTGTGTACTTGCTATTTAAAACCATATATTATAATGCAGTGTCTCCTTTAAAGCCTGAAAACCTATTTCCCATGAGTGCTATTAACAATAAGTCATGCATAACTACAAGCTATGACAGCAAGATACATTGAAGTACTCTCTGGTTAGAAGATAAACACTTTTATATGTGCCTGATACAGTATAACTGGTTCATCTGTCAGTTACAGTATCCTGATTACTTTGTATATTCTCAGTATCAATACCGAAAAGATAGGAGCTACAGTAGTGATTGGATGCTTTTATATATCAACCAATATAAATGTTGTATATCTCACTATGATTGTAATGTTTGTTCCTCAGGTTAATAGGATTATATTGGAGATTTGCAGGAGAAATGTAGGAAAATGTTATCTGTTAAGAAATGAAACAAATGGAGAGAGTCCATGACTTAGTCATCTCTAAATGCTCACTGAAAGATGCAAGCATAATGACAGAATGGATTTTCCACAAATATGAAGGCAAGAATAGCTACTTAGTCCATGATTCTTCTGTACTTTACACTTTCCCAGAATAGCATCCATCTGTATTAAATCCCTGTAATCTTTGCCTCCTCCCATTACTGACTTATCATATTATTCCAAATTCTTCACTCCTTAAATTCTTACTAATATTTGTTTTGGATTTTCACAATGTTCAATTTATGAACTCTGTTCTTTCCATTTCAATTTGCATTACCAATTTGGAATTATCTATACAGAGCAATGTTTTTGACCTCTGTGAAGACCTCGTTAACACTTTGCTTTCAAAAGTTAGAGCTTAACATTTTCTTTCTTCGTAATATTTTCATTCATATTTGGATATGTCATGTTTCTCCTTTCTCTGTCCTGTCCAATTCATGCAGAGTTTTTTGGTAATGGTAATGAACATAAACACTGGACAGTGCAATGATCAGACTATACTTAATTTAAGCACAACCTCCAGAGGCTTGATCATATTGTTATTCAACACTATTTATATTTTAAAATGCGTTTGCTACATTGCAGATCTTCTTCTTCATATATTTACTTAACTCCTGCATAAATGAAATTTTGCAAGATCATGGTATGACCACTATTTTTCTTTTTGCACCCTGTGACTCCTCTAGAGGACAAGGAGCATTTCAGGAATGGTGTAGATGCGAAGTTTAAATATCCGACTGATACCAGATCCTTTTTTGTTTTGCTCCATAAGTTTTCAATTTTTGGAATCGATACTCTCTTCTGCTGAATTGCTCAACAATGTCCAATGGAATGGGCAAGCATCAGTTGTTATAATTTTGTCATGCAAAACTTGAGTGGCTTCAAAACCAGAGTTATTAAATGAATGCTCTTTGAGTGTCAGATATGCTTTTATAGTGGAAAAAAATCTTATATTTTGTTATTTGCTGTATTTCTGCAGCTTGCACTATTGCACATTTTGTATGATTAAAATAGTAAAGGGAAATTTTATGTTGGTATTTCATTAAATGTATCTGCTGATGAGTTACATTACCATGAAAATGCTGCAAAGTAAGTTATATTATGTTACTTCTTAAAAAAAGAGAAAAGCTGCTTCTTCTTTCAAAAGATAGCTTCATTGGCCAGTGCACCACCTGGTCTCTAATTGGGATGGACCAGGTCATGAAGATTCTTTGTTTGATATTCCTTGTTCTGTGTTGAGTTAGTTGGAATGATATTGTTCCAGCATCTCCAGCAATCCTGTATCTTAAGGGAACTTACAAGATTTTTGTTCCTGATTGCAATCCGTGGATCTAAAGTACAAATGAGAAGAATCTGAGGCTTTAGCCATGGTGATCTCGATGCTTGAATAATCTATCAATACTCATTCTGCAGATTTCTGAACATCAAATGATTACTTAAGTTTTGTATGAAATACCCATGAGCTAGAAACAGGACTCCAATGTGATTTGATGTATTCAGGAGGTGAGGGCTCATGACTGAGGTTCAGGTGGAAATTAAAGGAAACTTTCTTCCAAAGAAAAAAGTATAAATATCAAATTCATTGATAAGGGTAACCTTACAAGATAAACTTGTATTATCACTTCAGAGACTTGAGTTCAATTCACACCCCACAGAATAGGTACTGTTTAACTACAACATATGTAATTGAAGTTACCATGTATTGGTAAATAGCCCTAATTTGATCATGCATTGTTCCATGTGTATGTAATTGTAGTTTCATTTTTAAAGGTGTTTTGTTTTGGAAATAGTGAGTATAATTTTGACAAGTGCTGTCACAAATAAACATTGTGAAAAATTAACTTGCTGTTGGGAACTATTTGTAATTTTCAGACAAAAATAGAAATCATAAAATTCTGCGAGGTAGTACCACTCTTCCTCAAGATCCTGCTCTTGAAATATTAGTTTAAAGTAAAGAATCTGATGAACATATCTTACATTGGGAAGATGTCATGGATGCAAACGTTTTTGACATATTTCATTAGGTAGTCTAACTGAGAATTACAGCAATAAGTATTGAATGAAATATGTTTTGCTGTCCCTGTGATCTGATGTAATATCTTTACTCTTCAAATATGTATGGTTGAATTTAATTCATTTTTAACTCTATAACAATTTTATGGGCACAAATGAAATGTATACCTCACTATATAATAGAAATATTTATAACATCTTTTAAAGAAATAGGGCATAGTATTATTAGAAATGTACATATGTATTAAAGAACACCAATTTACAGAAATCACTGTGTATTACCTTTCTAAATAATCAATGTTCCAGTTTTTAGTCTGAATAACAATTAATGTTATAATGAACTTATTAGTGTTTACTTATTGCTTTAACTTTGTAACATAAAAGGCATCAACTTGCACTTCAACATTACAGTAATACATTGGGAATGCTTCTGGTTTGCTAGTAAGGATCAAAAATCAGGAGCAGCATAAGCAGCAAGGAAAGCAGAAAAGATCTGCATACACTGCCAAAAAGAGGCAAGAGAGTCAGAAGCATTGAAGGACATAAGAATTCAGGAAAGGAAGGTCAGGCCTGAAGCCTGAAGAGGAGCACTATAACGTTAATGGTCGTGGTCTACAAAAGACCATAGATATTGTCTCTCTCTTTTCTAATGAAGAGAAATTTTGTATGTAGTTTGAGGGTGCCATTCAACAAGCATTGAATAAGGCAAGGAGGCAGGCCACCATTAGCTTTCAAAGCTGGTAAAGGATTTGGACCCTATTCTTGCCACTGTTCTGCACCATACTCCAGGTTATCAAACTAGCTGAGCCCCACAGAGCAATATAAGGAAGCTGCATTTCATAAGACCATAAGACATAGGAGCAGAAATAGGCCATTCAGTCATCGAGTTTACTCCATTTAATGAGATCATGGCTGATCTGATAATCCTCAACTCCACTTTCCTGCCTTTCCCCATACCCCTCTATACTGTAACTTCTTAAAAATCTCTTTATCTCAGCCTTAAATATACTTAAAGACTCAACCTCAACAGCCCTGTTCCATAAAGAATTCAATGAATTCACTACCCTTAGAGAAATTCCTCCTTATGTATCTTAAATGTATGACCCCTTATTCTGAAATTATGCTCCCAGTTCTAGATTCTCCCACAACGGGAAACAATCTTTCTGGATCTACCCTGTCAAGTCCTCTAAAAATTCAGATTGATTAGTGCATTTGTATTTACTAAAGACATTTGATGAGTTGCACTTAATAGGTTACCACACAAGATAGGAGCTTGTGCTGTTGGGGATGATACATGATAGAGGATTGACTAATAAGTTGAAAACAGTGTCAGAATAAAAGTGGTATTTTCAGGTTGGTGAACTAACTTGGAGAAATGCTAGGGTCTCAACTATTTACATTCTATATTGATTTAAATGAAGTGACTTATGGTATTATAGCCAAATTTGTTGAAGATGCAAAGGTAGGTAAGAAAATAAGTTGTAAGAGAATATGACTGGTGGAAACTTCCCCATCCCTGAAAAGTGCTGGCAATGGCAGAAAGTTGGGAAAATCACACGATATGGTCAGCAAGGAGCTTCTCAATGTTGAGATTAAAATGTCCCATTTCCCAAGCAAGTGTTGAACAGCGAGGCAAGATTCTGGTTAGAGAGAGGCCTATTTGCATTATTAACATATATTAACATCTCATTATTATCTAATTCCACCTCATTTAAATGAAGTTTCTCAATCCCTCACCTGTCAGCAAGCAAGAGCAGTTCTGTGGTGACTTCAGCTTGTTGATCAGCCATTCGCTTTGACATTTTGCATCAGTATCTCAGGAAATGCTCCATGGGCTTGTTGTACTTCTGTCTTGGCATGATGCTTAGTGCAGACACAGAGCCAGGGAGCATGTCATAGTTGTCAGCAGTCGTTAGTCAAGGTTGGAGTAGAGCACCGTGTTATGCCAATCTGTTACCAGCATGTACGAACAGCCTACTCAGCCAATGCAATGTGTGTGATTCAACCGAATGGCCATGTATCAATGTCTGTGGGGTGTAGTCCCAAGTGAAGGGGGCTGCTATCAATCAAGTGATCCAAGTACAGTGAGTATCATCTAATCCTAGTCCAGGGTTTAGAATGATCAGTCAGTGCAGTTAGGGTCGGGGGATGCACAGATCAGTGCAATCCGGAAGAGGCTATGGTCAGTTGCTTAATTTTGGATTTGTACAGGGATCACTCAAGCATCTGGTCACCCATTAGTCAGTGCTGTCTTTACAAGTTGCCCGGGGGTGTGCTACATTCAGTCCTGGGGTCTGTTTACTGAAAGTCAAAGGAACTTCTGTGTTAGGGTAGTGGGGGTGGAGAGAGGAGAGGGCCGCTCCGTTGGCCGGCTGGCGGGAGTGTGTGGGCCTGGAAGCTTGCTGCAATGATGGGATGGAGTGGGCACATTGACAGTGTGTGCCCTGGAAACAGAGCCTGGAGGGTCTGTGCTCTTGGGCCCAGGTGAACCAGGGATCTGGAAGCGAAAGCTGGTGGGCTCGGGGCCTACTGCATTGCGGCTTGGTTGAAGGCCCACTTTTGATTGGCCCAAAAAAAAATCCCAGAGTTGTCCATTCGGTCCAGGGCAAGGGGCAGCAATCTCTAAATAGTCATAGCTCGGGGAAACTAATATTGAATCTGCAGCACTTTTTCTGACATGACCTTCCAAATCAGAGCAACTTGGTGTAGAAACATGTGTGAGAGATGCCTTTGGCCCCAGCTGGAGTTGTTGTTGCCTCAGATGGAGTTTTTCTGTTCAGTTTTGGGATCCATGCTTCAAGAAGAATGTGAACCAGTGCTTCCCAAACATTTTTCAAACTGTAAGTGAGACCTCTGAGAACAGGGCAAGATGGAGTGTCTGTCTGTTGGAGTAGGAATAAAACTAGAGGGCATAGATTTAAAGGAGAGGGGCAAGATTTAAAAGTACTTGAGGGGCAACTTTTTCATGCAGTGGGTGAGTGTGTATGGAACAAGCTGTCAGAGGAAGTTGTGGATGCATGTACAATTACAATGTGTAAAAGGCTTCTGGATGGGTATGAATAGGAAGGGTTTAGAGGAATATGGGCCAAATGCTGGCACGTGGGACTGGGTCAGACTGGGATATCTGATCTGGGCAGACGAGTTGGGCTAAAAGGTCTGTTTCTGTGCTGTATGATTCTAGGACTCAATGACTGTAAATGGGTCATGCTCACATTGGTGGACTGTGACGAGGAGGGTACTGCACGGATCAGTACTTATAACCCATATATCTATGATTTAGACTTGAGGACGAAAAGTAATATTTCGAAACTTACAGCAGGTACAAAGCTAATCAGAAATGTGTGCCGTGATGAAGATGTAAAGCGATTTTAGGAAGATTTGGACAAGCACAGTGATTGGGCAAGAACATTACAGAATATACAGTTCTGAGGAAGGGTCACCGGACCCGAAATGTTAACTCTGTTTTCTCCTCCACAGATGCTGCCAGACCTGCTGAGCTTTTCCAGCAACTTTGTTTTTGTTCCTGATTTACAGCATCCACAGTTCTTTTGGTTCTTATTTAGTATTTAACTCACTGCCACATCTCTTCCAGGCATGCCCACCTTGAAGAAGTTCCGCTCCTCTCTCCGACGGGATTTCTGTTCCAATCTCTCTTCTTGCCTACCGACTTTAATTTCACTGTCACTCCTGGTGTTTGACCAGGTATTTGCTAAAACTCGTTTCCACAGCCATATCACATTCCTCAGCGACTGCATCCGGCTCAGACTCACCCCACGTGGATTCCAACTGAAGTTTCATCCCTCATGTTTTGAATCCTCCCAGGATCGCAGATACCTCCATGATGTTCAATGTTCCACAGACAGCTGCTCTTGCCACATCCTGAGATCCACACTCAGTGCCATGCGGCATCACATGTGCACTCTTAACCTTACACTGCAACAGCAACGTAACACACTAGTTCAGGGCTGCACCACTCTGCAGTTCCACTTCATCCTCCGGCTCATTCGTTGTGCTAACAAGAAACTTTTTCTTTTCCTTTCAGGCATCAAGGCAAAGTTCTGAGGAAGGGTCACCGGACCCGAAACATTAACTCTGTTTTCTCCTCCACAGATGCTGCCAGACCTGCTGAGCTTTTCCAGCAACTTTGTTTTTGTTCCTGATTTACAGCATCCGCAGTTCTTTTGGTTTTTAACATTACAGAATATAATGTGGAAAAATGTTGAGGTTATCCACTTTGGTAGGAAGAACAGATATCCAGAGTTTTTTAAGTTGTGAAAAATTGGAAACTGTAGATGTACAAAGAGACCTGGGTGTTCTTGTCAATAAGTCAGTGAAGTCTAACGTGCAAATACAGTAAGCTATTAAGAAGGCTAATGGAACATTAGTTTTTATCACAACAGGGTTTGGCTACAGGGTTAGTGAAGTAATTGAGTTGCTTCAGTTGTATGGGAGCTTGGTTAGACTATACCTTGAGTACTGTGCATTTTAATTTCCTTTTTTCAGGAAAACTATTACTGCCATAGAGGGAGTGCTACAAAGGATCACCAGATTTGTTTCCAGGGATGGTGAGACTGTCCTATGAAGAGAGATTAGGCAAACTGGGCCTGATATACTCTAGAATTTCACAGAATGAAAGGTGATCTCATTGAAACCTACAAAGTACTTAAAGAGATAGGGTAAATGCTGATAAGATATTTTCGCTGTTTGGTGAGTCTAGGATTGGGGAGACAATTGAAAAATAAGGGAGATGCCATTGAAACTTAAAAGGGTTCTGAAAAGATTCACAAGGATGTTGCTGGGGTTGGAGCATTTGAGCTATTAGGTGAAG